GTCATTTCAAAAAGCGTTTACCAGTCGACATCCATATTAAGTCCTTTTACCAACTGGAACGTTGCTATGAGGTCACCTCTGTCCTGCCTGTAGTGGAGGGGATAGAGGTTCAAGGCCGTCAGGCGCTGCTCGTACGTGCAGTTTTTGAGGCCATGAACAGTCTTTGTAGCACGCCGTAGTACACCTTCAAGGATATCTATATCCTTCCGAAGCCACGGCCGCCAAGCCTGTACCGCATATTCCTGGTGCGGCCGCACAAATGTCCCGTATACTTTACGAAAGACATCTTTATTCAAGTGTATAAACGTTCTGCGTATCGCGCTCATAACGGACATTGCCCGCGCAGCGACTTTAGAACACTGCGTGGTGACGTTTAGATCGTCATTAATGAACACACCGAGATCTTTTTGCACATCTACGGTTTTAAGTGGTTGATTGTCCAGGAGATACTGTCGTGGGGGTGCATTTGTTCTTCGCCTCGCTGATACTACGTGCATTACGGCACATTTGTTGACGTTGAATTTCATGCACCATTTCTCGCTCCATACTTGCAAATTCTCTACGTCCTCTTGTAGTATCTTGACGTCATCTTCATCTTTTATCGCTCTCCCAAGTTTAAGGTCGTCTGCAAAGAGCGCTATGTCTGATTTCACTTCCCGTACCAGGTCATTTACATAGATAGTGAATAGGAGCGGCCCAATAACTGACCCCTGTGGGACTCCACTCGTAACAGGTGCCCATTCTGAGCAGTAGCCGCCCGCAGTGACTTTTTGTCGCCGTCCGTTTAGGAAATCTTGAATCCAGTTCAGAAGATTTCCTCTTATCCCTACTTCTGACAACTCATTCACGCAAATTATTTTGACGACTGTATAATCAAAGCGTGAATATAGGATGCTGACATATTAGACTGGCGCAGGGCAGCATTGAATGCCTGATGACTACTTCTTTTATTAATTTTAAACAACCCTCTCGCTTTCAGGTGTATGTGAGATGTCGTACTCCAGCTCGCTCACAAACTGCTGCATTGATCAGACAGCAAGACAGAAATGGTCACTGACAACTGCTTATGTGATAACTTTTAATTTCCTGCTCTGGACGCAAATTCCCTTCCACCAGCAGTGGGTTTGATGGCTCTTTCAACTATTTCCATGATTCTGCCTTCATTATCTCCAATTTGTAAAATCTCAGCGGACATTTTACACTACTAAAAGGATATTGTGTTCACGGTATTCATTTCGGTAACATCCATAAGCTAGCTTTCACCACACATTTTTTTCAAAAATAGTGGTTATTGTGAGGTCCATTTTGTCTATACTGCATGCTGTCGTCGTTCATGTTTTTGTGAAGTTTTGTTGTATTCATGTTCCCATGGTGGTTCAATAAATGTAAAATGACTAGAATAAGTACAGTAATGCAAAGCGAGTCCCAGCAGTAAGTATGTCAACAGTAAACGCTCCAACAGTTAGAAGAAACCAGCAAAATATTGCCTTAGTCAAAAACCGGTAAAGGAATCAATCAGTGTCAGATTAAAAATATAGAACTTCGGTCAAAGTATATTTTCAGCAGTGGATGTAATAAATCCTGCAGTAGTACTCGTTTACTTGGAGTCAGTGCTGCATGGTCATGGCTTATCTAAGCAGACTCAGTGATGTGTCGAACTTCACCTCCGCACGTGTGACGATTTGCGGCTGTTAATCTGGAAAATGACCCATTCCCTCCTCCAGTGATGAGAGAGTGGTAGGTTGATCGTGAAAGATAACAGGCGGCCCGAAATGCACATTTCGTGGTCCGCCTTTGACTAAGTTGTCAACAATGAACCCAACATTCACATAGTGAACAAAGTGGGTCAGTGCAGAGTGCCCAACAATAACATGGTAACGGTGTTTTAGTTTAAGAAAATTGCCGATATTTGAGGCCTTCTCCACTTTAGCCTAATAATTTTTGGAGACAATCCTGGCTGCATTTACTGTCATTTTTTATAAATGACCGTGGGACCGAGGATTCTGTTGTTTTGGTCATCTGTTTCGTTGTATGGACGCAATGGTGTGGGTGCGTCGTAGGCTACCCAAACTACTGAATTTGTAAGTGTTGGTAGATATGGAATACTGCTGTGAATGCGCATTCTTCTGCAGTCATAACCAAGAAATAATAGCGTACAGTCCTCATCGGTACAACATGGACGTCTGCTTCATAACCGGACAATACTTAAGCGATGCTCACCGATCATTCGTACAGAACTCACTCGCCTCGTTGTGCCTTAAAAGCTCTCTCTCTCTTGACAACAACCAGCAGGTGCAAAGCGGCGCCTGATATAGGCAGAAAATTATTACTGACAAAGACAAGGGAGTTTAGAATGGCCATTTCTGGGTTATTAGCCGTCATCAGCCAGTCATAAACAACCCCGAGGTGTTGGACACCTGCGGCTCGATCCCACGACCTGTTAGTTAGAAGTCTAACGCCTCTAACCACTGAGCCACAGTCTTGTTGACTTGTCGGTTTCGGTCGGGATTATACAATGGTTGATGGGCGCTCACCGATCGTTCTTACGGAAATCACTTGTCCCTTTGTGCCTTACGAGCTCTCTCTCTCTCTTTCAGTGAGCGCCCCACTACCATTGTACATTCGCGATCGAAATCTACAGGACAACGAGATCTTAGCTTAATGGTTAGAGGCATTGGACTTATAACTAACAGCTCGCGAGTTCGAGCCCCATTTGCTCCATATCTCGGGGTCGGGTATGACTGGCTGCTGAAAACTGATAAGCCAAAATGGCCATTCCAGTCTCCCTTGTCTTTGTCGGTAATTACATTCTGCATATTTGAACTTCTAAAGGCAGAAGCGAAACATCCGGAAATCAGGATCCCTGAGTTAATTCGCTCTTCGACATCCATAACTGCAACCCATGGGACTTCCAAAAAAAGCAGTGTAATGATCACCCCTTGACCAGTAGAACCATGAATTAATTGCATGTGAGCCAACCACTCACCAACTTACGCACTTGTGCTGGGGAGCTAACTTGTCTAACTGCTCAGTCATTACTGCCCATGCACCGACGGTAAAAGCTGGTCAGTGCGATAAAAAAAATCCACAAAATTGCTGATAGAAGCAAAAAGGCGAGTTCCAGGTAGCAGTTCAGAAGACGCAGATGCGATCACTGGAACGAGAAATGTGTTGGCCTGAAGTTTCGATTCTCACTCGAGTCAATCATCAGAGACATTCGCAGATAGAGGTGATGGTGGCACGGGCAGGGCAGTATTTCTAGCTCGTGGCTTCCGTGGGACCATTTGCGCACTGTAATTATCCGCTCTCGCAATCACCGCTGGGGTCGTAATCGATACGGTGGTGTCTTGTCAGTTCGAGTCCGAGTCGTTAATGGCCGTGATTTCGTCATCCGTGCTGAATGCTGGCATGTCGATTGCTCGCCAGTTGGACTCACTGTCACTGGGATGATTGCTCACCCGCGCCCTCCCCACTGATTCCCCTGCCCAAGAAAACCTTAGTACGGAATAGGGTGCCGGGAGGTCATTGTGCTTGTTGATGGATTGCGGGCCTGAGAACCATGACTCGAGCAGCTGGCGGCTCACGCGGTTGTCACCCCTTGCGAGGCTTTCTGCCTCTTGAAATTTGAAAATATGGCCGGGTCCCGTCGAGTGTGCCGCCACCTGCGAGCTAGCGTCTCTCCGCCTCGCTGTTGGTGCGTGCTCGGCAATTCGCGTACGGAGTAATCTCCTAGTCTCTCCGACATAGTTTCTTTGTCTGCAACTACACCAGATACGGTAAACGACTCCATCTTTACCTGTCAAGCAACCTCTGCACTCACTGTTTGTCTGAGTGAAATTATTAGCGGTAAGGGCATAGTTTACGCCCGGGGTCACTTACGTCGTGGAGCAATTGCGCTTAAAGTAAATGAATGCGATATTTCTTTGCAGGTGCTAGGGAAATGAATGAAAAGACCTCTCGGTGGCTGCTGCGTTAGATTGGTCAAAAAGCTCTAAGATATTCATCGGAGCAAAAATACGACAATGAAATGCCTTTTTTGACAATGCCTCCGAATGGGCAATATACTTATTTATCATTATCATTAAATGGAAAAAAATAGTATCACATTTTGACTAGTGACAATATAGAGGATCAGAATTTGTGATACCACACATTTCTTAGGTGTTCGAGTTCTTACTCAGCACAATTGCTCCCCGGAGCACGCGACCCCTGACGTAAACCATACCCTTGCCTTATTATTTTAACTAAATTAAACTATCAGCACACATCAGATCAAAACCGACTGTCATTAATGTAAGGTCGGTGCCTACGGTTTTCTCGTTGACAGGGCTCACGTCAGTCTATTTGGCACGCAACGTACGCTATCAGCTGATTCTAGTCAGCTTAACCTCTACCAACGAATAACTCGCGGCTTCTTTTTAAACAATTCACCACTGTTCCCGTGTTGTTGCAATCGGCTAATCGAAACCAGTAAGCCGTCAGTGCGTACGTGTGTCTGTACAACGTGGAGCCAGAATAAAACGCAGCTTTCGTGGCCCTAATGGCAGTCTGTCGATCCTGCCTTGGTTATCACTCGAAATGGCGCCCCCACAAGAGAAAATATTTGAAGACGAATTTCCACTGGTTCGAAGTTGTCCTGCACTGAACGAAATTCGCCTTTCTCAAGACATCAATGATTTGACGATAGAGGTAGCTTCCCTTACCGTGGATATGTGTCTATGTCCGTTAGGTAAAGGACGGCAATGTGTTCCATGCGCATCGAATAATATTAGCGGCTCGCATTCCTTCTTTGCGAGCGGCCCTCGGCGGTCCCCTCGGGAAGGAGAATTCGGTCCTACGATGGCCAACGATGCCTCTCGGGTAAATTTGCCGTCGGTTATGTGACTGTGACTACTGCCTATGCACTTTCTAGCCTAGCAACCACGTTCATCCAGTATGTTTACACGGGTCAGATGGAGATGACACAAGAAAATGTCAGAGGCATAGTTACACTTGCCAAAATGGTTAAACTCCCCGACCTCGTTAATTGGGGAACGACATTCATGGCTGACAGGTAAATATTTTCCCACTCTTACCTGTCTACTTTAAAGCCTCAATTTTGAAAATCTGACAGCCACCTGGGACTTGGCCAGGTCTCTGAATGTCGAATTGTTGACGGAGAAGTGCATCAGTATGATGAAAGCGCACTTTGAGGATGTCGTTCCAACCGACCTCTTTGTTGGCTTGCCAGCAGAAACGCTTCTCACATTACTTAGAAGTGAAGATCTGTCAGTGGGTTCTGAGGAGCAAGTTATTGAAGCCATCGCACGATGGGTTGGTTCTGGTGGTCAGGAAAATGATGAAAAGTTGAATGTCCACGCTCCTACAATGCTGAGGGAGGTCCAGTGGCACTTGACGACCGTCCAGTGCCGCAGCCGACTAATGGAAAGCCATGTAATTTTCAAGAAAAGTAACGAATGCGCGTAAGTATATGCCATTTGCGCAAGGTAATTTAATATGAAAGTTGGCTAATGTTTCAGATTGCGAACTGGATTGGCGCATCAGATACCGACAAGATACCCTGCCCCTTTAATTTAAGACCACGCCAGTCAATCTTCTTATTTGGAGAAGACGCAAGTGAACAGAACAAGTGGTCCGTGCTGCGTTTTGATCCGCAACTCCAAAAGGCAGAACGAGTTGCTAACATGAATGAACGCCAGTGGGCCTCCTATAGTGCCGTGGGCGGTAAGTTGTTTGACAGTTTCACACCCTACTAGCGCACATTTTAACTGAATTTTGACGACTGATTTCAGCATAGCGCTCAGCAAATTTGCCATTTCATAGGAACATTGAGTTCCACGTGCGGTTCGTTATAGAAGCTCCACTTGCTGTTTTGAAAAAAGAAGGCGAATGTAGATGTAAATTTGGCCATTTTTAAAAGTAAACGTACCGTCGCTAGAGACGCCTGCCTATTTTTTTTAAGAAAACGGATATGAAAGTTTTTTTGCAAAATATTCTGCCCTAACTGGGCTATTTTATAAATTTCTTTTTTCGCTTCCCCGGAAGAGAGCATTTTCATGATTGGAGGGGATAATGGCCCAAGACGTGTTGATGAGTTTCTGGTGAGAGATGGGCGCTGGCGCGAGCGGGCATCCCTCGTTGATGGACGCCAGTGGCACGCAGCCGCCGCTGTCGTCAACAAAAACGGAGAGGAGGTGATGATCGGCGTTTTTGGTGGATCTTTCAATGATGGAAACGGTTGGACGTTCCTTTCCTCTTGCGAAGTCTATGATGTCAGACAGGACAGGTGAGAAGACCGTCGTCGTGGAGCATCTTTTTTCAGAAGTCTCCTGTCCTACTTTCCCGGCAAGGTAGGGTAAAGAAACCCTCTTAACTGTCGGTGGACTTCGGATCATATAAGACGGGAATGACGATAGTGGAGTTTTACGAGTGGGGCAGCACGCCAGAGAGAAAGTTGGCGAAATGTAAGAAAACCCTAATTGTTTGGGTTCCTACCGAAAGTCGCATCGAACGCTTTCGTATGGCAACGGAAATGAACACGCTAATTAGATTATAAATAAAGAGCAAGTTTCATAGATAACCGAGTGGTTTAGGTAGTGGAAAGTAATTGTTGTTTGAAAATGGATGCCAAGATAAAACCCCGAATGACACAACTCAGAGTCCGCCGCCAACTAAGCGGTATCTTTCACATCACCGTTGTTCCCTTTTCTCTCTCTCTCTTTCTTCTTCTTCTTCTTCTTCTTCTTCTTCTTCTTCTTTGTTTTCTTCTATTTCTCACTCAACTCTTCCTTCCGCCAAACAGATGGCAAAAATTGCCTAACCTGCGGGAGAAAAGGAGCAGCCTGGCTGCTGCCCGCCTGCCCGACGATAGTCGGGTCTTCGTTTTTGGCGGAGGAGATGGCCCCTCCTCCGTCGGGCTTGCCTCGGTGGAGTTCTGCAATCTGGGGGAAGACTGGCGGGAGAAGACTAACTCGGCAGACTTTTGGCTACCAGCTGCCTCCATGAGAACTGCTCGATGGGGACTCGCAGCGACACCTTTTAGGGGAACAATCCTGGTTGCCGGTGGGCGTAATAGCCGAGGAAAGACTGTCAACGTTGTGGAGATGTTTATGCCGCCAGACGCGAGAAGTCCCCTCGGCCAGTGGACAGAGCTAGCTGGCATGAAGGAGCCTCGTTCATGGTTTACTCTTCTGACTTTCGCTAACGCCGTCTTCGCTCTCGGTAATACAGCGCAAGTGAATTTTTTTTGTCTTTCTCATGCCACTCGATATATTCATCAGCGAGTCCTATGTTACAAAGCAGAACGATCAACGCTTTTGCATCTGACACCAGCTGAACCTGTGCTCATGCATGACGTTGGAGGTTTTCATGTGCATTGCGCCATTAAGTTGTGTATTGCCTATTCTTGGTTTAATATTTTTTTTAAATTAAGCCTCGTTAATATTACTCAAAATTTGTAGGCAGATGCGGGGAACCAAAAAACACGGTTGAAGCTCTCACTGTACCGGGAGGATCTTCAGACAACGAGTTGACATCTTGCCTTTGGTCGTCCAAGAGCCCAGTGGAAACGCTTAGCTGGATCCGTGGAGCTGCGAGCATACGCATGTAAACGTCAGCACCTTTTGGTTTAAAAATAAATTTGCTTTGTCGTCTATAACTTAAAAACGTCAGAAGAATGTGAAGTGCTGAAACACAGGGTCACCGTTTTAAGACGAATTTCGCGTTATGGGGAATGGAATGGGTGTGCGACATGCTTGTGACCAGGCTAAGCAGTCAATGTTTACAAGAAAGATGGTCGTTTGCCGATACAGTCCACTTCTTTTGCAAAATCACGAACCCATATATGTTTGCCCTGATTTGAACGCCCAATCTGGAGCAACTACTGCACTTTTCTGGTTTAGAAATATGCTGAGAAAGAAGTATCCTTGGATACAACGGCTTCACAGAATGATAAAGTAGAATCAGTTTATTTCGTAAGTCAACAGCAAGGTCCTGCAAAGCTTTCGGATATATGCTGGTCCCGCAACCGCAGACAGCAACATGTTAAGACACTGGACATGGATTTTATGTGGTGTGTATTAACTTTACGACCACAAGGCCGAAAAGTGATGGCTTCTGAGTTTAGGGAAGGCGGGTTTGCTTAGTTCGAACTTGACCAGTTTCAGCCGAGTCTTTAATATTTGTTACTGTTTTAACAGGGTTGGTTACTACCGTTTACGAGATTTGATGGAAATACGAGTAAGCCGACAGTGATGGGTGAACGGGAAGGTTAATAATCACTATGATGACCGACAACCAATAGCATTTAGCATAAATTTAGTCAAATACTATTGTTTTTAAATTCATCACAAATGACTCAGCCAAATCCATAAAAAACGAAGCCTTGAATTACATTAGGTGGGAGGATAAGTGTATGATTTGGGAGCGACAAGCGAATTTGATGGTAACTATCATAGGTGATTCAATGTACTCCATGTTGCAGGTTCGAAATATCCCGAAAAAAAATTTTCCCTTGTGTAAATGGTTAGCAGAATACTTCTAGCTGCCTGTTATTACAATCGGCAACACACAAAATTGGCCCCATCGACTTTATTACGCATAAAATAACCTCCGACATGCGACGCCATAGGTTGTTTTTTTTCCAGTCGAGCCGAATTCGAGCGCATGGGTCCCAGCTGATGACAACGGTAGCCGCGACCGCTTGCGATTCTACCTGTACGCTTTTGGCCACAGTAAAAGATTTTCCATCTAGGTCACTGGCCTACCGATTAGGGGCTTTTGAGGTTTTCGACTATCCCACTTCAACAGACACACGGGTGACCTCACTGTAGTTCGCATGTCAACAAAAAATGGTAACGCTAGATATTCGATAAGGCCAACTCACCGTAAACGTTTTGACTTCTCAATCTGGCCTCCAAACACACATTAGATTTACGTGCTTAAGTGAATATGATCGGTGGCGTCGTCTTTATGATAATTCGGTGGTTTTACTCATGTCTTTTGCACAGTTATGACAGAAGGCTTAACACATGGTAGCTGAAGTCGTTTACCGGCAAACCAACTTGTACAGTGGCCTGCCCTTTTGCTTTTGGCACGACTCTAGATCCATGACTGCTAGACACTTTCCTCGATATTGCCTGGGTCATCTGACCTGGTTGTTGCACTTGTCCTCCAACAAGTGAGGGGGTGATCAATTGATAAGTCAAAACAGTGCTACTAGTACGAGTGCTCTTGATGACAAATTAATCCAGCAGCCATAATTCCGTGCATATTTGGGATGTCCTCACAACCAGATAGGAAGAGGGGTTTCGCCATCCCAGATGGGAGCGTGACTTATGCAGCACACCACCCATTAGTTTTTCAGGATGGCTGACGTAAATCACATGCTCTGGTAGTCGGATGGTGCCGGACCGCATCGTCAATTTATGGGAAAGCATGTTGAATCCATATTAAATATGTACTGCTTCAGCGGCAGAAACTGCAGCAAAACTGATAAATATCAATGTTACGGAGCATGTCTTTTCTTAATCAAACACAGTTACCCGTCACTATCTGATAAGCTAATATCCAACTCCCAGAAAAATTGACTTTACGGAGCTGCTCTCTGTTTTAAAGCCTTCTTCAGGTATTTTTTACGGTCAATCCGTTACTGTCACTGCTAAATATCTCGAGGTCTGAGCCGTCAAGAGAGTATTTTTCACCCCCGATTTCAAAAATCATCACAAATTCACCCGAATGCTGACAAGGATATTTTTGAAAACTGATTTTGGAAAATGTCCTCCTTTAGTCTGTAGGCTGCAGCCCCGGTGTATGGTCATCGTCTTGGCACAATTTGCATGAGAAAGACCCGCGCGCCTGGCACACGTTTCTCAATCGTGGATGCCTGCACACCTATCGAGTTAAAATCGGACCTGCTCAACACGTAGCGCAGCATCGATCGAAATACATGCACGAAGCGTTTGCTTGTTAGCTGAGCGCTGAGTGCGATAAGAAGCTTACCTTGATTACTTAAAGAGCATGTGGTCAAACTGATCCGATTGCAACGGAGTGCAAGATCGATGCGTGTGTGCGTCACCAGTTATGAAGATTGTGAACACCAAAAGCCTTATCAGAGTCTATTATCCACAGTTAGTAGCCAACCTTGGCATTTCACCCGATCCAGTGACATTTCCGCTGCGTAGTTAATCAGCTTAGTATAGATTTTTTCTGCGCAATCAATTCCGTGAATTTGGTAACAATCGGGAGATGGCATCCGAAAAAATCCGTTACCTAGAAATAATACCTCTAATAGTGGACTCAAACGCCTTCAGGCTATGTCCGTGTTTGCAGGCCTACTTTCACGCACTACTTGGACTTTCCCCGACGGTCTAACGTGGGCTGGTCGAACGAACATCGAAGGAGGTTACATGGACGATGGTCGCTGTTACCCAACCTTCCCCATCGTCACACACGTACACCTGAATATACGGCATACATTCGCACTATGGCAGTTTATTACAAAACGAAATCAGTTTTTAATAGGGTAAGTCTGCACAACATGGGACAGAACAGTTCCCAGGCATCTGTCAAAGACATGGCATTCAGGTCAATCCAAAGACGATAGTGTACTTCGTCTATGAGCCCACACACAGCTTGACCATATGCAGAGTCTCCCTCGTGGAGTTTCCTTTTCAGTCTACTTCAGTATGCCTCAATGGCATTGGTGTGTCGTCCGGTGGTAGGATCCTTGAAGTTCTTTGAGAAGTTAAGAGAGAAATGTTGATAACCTTCTGAGAGAAAGCGATTATACGCTTCCCACTCGTCCGTTACCACTTTACTGCCTTTGGCGACCCATTTAGTAATAACGGGACGGAAAGCGGGCCAACATCGATCAAGTAAGGCTTTCCGCGGTTCGTATCGTACTTCCCTACCAGCCACCACCCATAAAACCCCTATAACCACCTGTCCCGTAAGACAGGCTGCTTTGCTTAGGCGGATATTTTTGGGTGCCCTCTCCCGATTGTTACCGTGAATTTTATAACAGATATTTCTGCGATTAACATATGTTGTAGTATCACAGTTTTAGTTATCTAGAGCTGTCCGATCATCTCATATCATGAAGCAGCTAAATGTTCATTTTCATAGGTCAGCCCCGTCACCCGCAGCAGAATATGGATAAATGTGACCTTTCTCAGAAAAAACAGCGAGGTTGGGTTAAGTACATAGACACCTGCATTGGGAAGCCTACTTATTTATGCGTACTGCACATGCGTGGGGAGTAGAGTCATTCAGTTTAGTATACTCGACCCGCTTTTAGTTCGCCTTTGTGTTAACGAAGTACCAGATTTATTTCAGAATGGTAAGACCTTTATTTATGCCGATGATCTTAAAGTTGCATATCGATATAAGCCGGCAGATCATGACATCGTGCTCGAGCTCCTAGAGAACGATTTACAGACCTTTGCCTATTGGTGCTGCACATGGTGCTTTTCCCTCTTTTGGCATAAGTGCTCAGTCATGATGGTTGGCGACGACCACCAACCTCGGCTAAGTATTGACGGTCACGTCAAGAATGTGCGCGGGGTTTTAAAGGATCTAAGTGTATCACATTCCAAGAGCATTTATTTTTCTGCGTACTGCGCCCTGATAGTCCCTAGAGCACGTTGAAAGACCGGGTTGTCCTCCAGAATGCTAAAATTAACGATATAAAAATGCGCCTTCATAACATGTACGTTTGACCTGGACTGGAATACTGTTCGTCTTTGTTAAGCCATCTGCGTGCTTCTAAGCTGAAGACAATGGAATCCGTCCAATATTATTTTACCAAGAGATTTTTAACCTCGGAACACCGGCATTCATCGTACCAAGAACACTGTCGACTTACAGACCTTCTGCAGTAGCAGAGTGGGTGATGCAAGGAACGCTGTTACCCTCACAGAGATAATGCACTCCCCATGTGTCGATTCATTCGAGGCCATAATAAACACGTTTGATGTCCCTAAGTTGTCCAATTTCTCTCACCCGCCATCTGTTTACTCTTGCCCAAATGACTAAGATTGGTATATTCACACTCTTCTGCCAGTCATTCGTCGCATTTGTAATGCAAGGATGCCTTTTTTCAACATTTGTAGGTATCAGGGTTCATTTCAAAAGTTCAGTTTCGCTTTCAATTTATTTAGGGAAATATAGGCGAGCGCATTTGAAATCCCTATTGGTTACAAGTCGTTGGATAAAATCATTGATAAGTGGGCAGGTGAAATAGAGATTTTATAGATATTTGCGAACATCTGCAGCTAGTCGAAAATAGTAATCATTAACTGTTACTTGCTAGTTACGAGCAGTTGAAACACGCAGAAGTTAGTGCCGGTTATGTGGGTGGATTTCGAGGCTTGATGCTTGTCAAGTCTACACTTAAAGGAATGTACACAGGAGGAGATTACAACACCGGGAGCAGGGCATTTCGAGCTGCAACCACTCTGTTACTAAAGAATAACTTTCGTTCATTGATCCTTACTTTCCCCGCGCGTATTTTAGGGAATGACCGCGAAAAGTGGGCGTGATAGCTTGAGCGAAATAATCAGTGTGATCTAAACGACGATCTACGCCGTTGATAATGCAAAATGAAAGAATCAGGTCACCACGTAGTTGCCTGCAGAAAGGGACAAACAGGTTGATATTTTAGAGTCTGGTGTCATAAGACAGTGCACCTAAATCTTGTGGCATTGTGTTCGCCCGTCTCTGAACCTTCTCCAAGACGTTATAATCCTTGGCAGTCCAAGGACTTCGCGCATATATGGCGTATTCTAGGTGAGGCCGTACGAAGGTGCCGAACATTTTCGAATGGCAGTCAGGATCAATCCCAAAAAGGCTCGCCAAATGATTTGCAATGAAGCCATCGCCGATTTAGCCGCCTTTGAGCGGTGCAGCGTTGGTTTGAGTGAAAATGCGATCTATTCAGTCAAGTTCTTCTGAATTTCAAACTGTCTCAGTGGTGTGCCGTGTAAAAAGTTAGTCCTGGGGCTGGAGGCTCAGAAGCTGCCGAGTTGAAGAAAGTTGTATTTATTTATATTGAATGGTCAAATTCAAGTCGCGCAGCTCAATCTCAAAGATAAGTGAAGCTTTGCATTTCGTTGGATATTCTTAAACAATTAACGCCAGTTTTTTGCTAAGTCTTTTTTAAAATCCCCTTTCACTACAAGGTATGATTTTGTCCAGTTTTGTTTCACAGTCGGGCTTAATAGTCGTATTTTGTAAGGAAACGTTTTAGTGACTTCGTTCCAGTATATCTTTTTCTAGTTATCGTAGTTAAATAACAGTAGTTCTTTCTCTTCAGTGCGCTCTTCTGTACGTTAGCATCGTTTTTATCCTTCTACTACAACGAAAACTTATATTTTCTGTAATGTCAAAATACGAAAGCTTGTGGCCTCCGCACCGTCTCTGGGTGCTAGAATAGTGCCCAAAGACATAGCAGGTGCCAACATATGTTCTTCGCCTTCTGCAGATATGGTAAACTCAAAAATCCCTTTAGTACATGTAGAACCTCTTGACTCTTTAATCGTCCAAAACTACGCCTCTGCTAGTCGTAACAGGCCATCAGCCAACGGAATACTCGATCAGTTGATATATGGCGACATAAACAGCGCTTCTGATAAAGCTATTGAACAAGCTTTTAAACTTTTTGGGGAAATGAGTTCTGAAAGCGTGGAGAGATGCAAACGCAAGCATATTTTCGTACCGCAAAACATTGCGAGCCAATTATCTGCTATGGAGGGAGTGCATTTTTTCATACAAACTTGTGGCTTGAGTTTCAGTGTCGCACAAGCTAAACGACTGCGCTCGCTCAGCCTTAATGCGCCGATACTAGTTTTCTTTTTTCCTTGATAGAAGTCGATTTCATCTTGACGACGAAGGAGATAACTAGAGAATTCTGCCAAAAGTAGCGCTGCTCCGTTTCGCCAAACTTCACAACACTGAAGAGAAGACTGAATAAATCAAAATCGGCAAAAACCAACACCAAGATAATGACACCTACTGTCAGTTTGAATAAGTCCTCTACCACACCAACTGCACGTCAGGACATAGTCAACTCCGTAGGGAATTTGAATACTCTTGATGTTGAGATCTGTAAACACACCTACACGCCTGGTATAAAAACGACTCTACCGACTCCCCCAGCAACCCCAAGCAAGCCTAAGCGTATGCCTCATTCAAAGGCAAATCTAATTGCTGTCTCAGCCGCTCGAAAGCCCGATTAAATCTAGCAACATTATACAATCTTTTACTCCACAATCGGCTAAATGGGCCTCAAACACTACGACTCAAATGTAGCGTGTTCTCAACTGCCACTCCAGTACTCATATCGAGGCATTTAGGCTGAATATGCTGTTTTTCCCGTCTTTTAATAGAACATTTGATTCAATGGAAGCAATACGTCTTCCACTCATATGTTGTTTCCTCCACCGCCGTTCTACCCATGTATTCCTTATTCTTATGTCCATACTGGACCAGCAAACTCATCCGATCCTCAGTTTCGTTACGGCAGGAATGTGTTGCAGTATCCGGGCCGTGGATTTTCAGCTAAAAATGAGTTAACTAACAATGATTGCCAGTTTACCCGCCTGTCATTTCCTCCCCAAGCCCTACTCCTTTTTATCCACGTCAGAATCTTTTGATGCCACAAAACTGTTTGCAGAACCGGATGGGTACATCGGGACCGTTTGTTCCGTGAGAAAGTAAGCACTGGACGACGTAGCCCACCCTCTCAGAAACAAACAACCTCTCCTACAATGCTGAGGGAGGTCCAGTGGCACTTGAAGACCGTCCAATGTCTCATCTGCCTAATGGAAAGCCATAAAATTTTTAAGAAAAGTAACGTATGCGCGTAAGTCTATGCCATTTGCGCAAGGCATTTTAATATGAAAGCTGGCTAATGTCTCAGATTGCGGACTGGATTGGCGCATCAGATACCGACAAGATACCCTGCCCCTTTAATTTAAGACCACGCCAGACCGTCTTCTTGTTTGGAGAGTACGCAAGTGAACAGAACAAGTGGTCCGTGCTGCGTTTTGATCCGCAACTCCAAAAGACAGAACGAGTTGCTAACTTGAATGAACGCCAGTGGGCCTCCTATAGTGCCGTGGGTGGTGAGTTGCTTGACAGTTGCGCACCCTATTTAACGCACATTTTAACTGAATTTTGACGCCTATTTTCGACATAGCACTCAGCACATTTGCCACTGCATAAGAATATTGAGTTCCTGGTATTGTTAATTGTAGAAGTTCCAATTGCGGCTTTGAAAAAAGGCAACAACCCGCGCAAATTATTCTCCTTGTGAAGTAAGCATGCTTTCGCGACCGGGGCCTGCATATTCCTAAGACAACGGATCTGACACTTTTTTATGTAAAGTCCGTAACTCTCACTTGATCGTTGTATGCCCTGTTTTTTCCACCTTTTTGGAAGAGAGCATTTTCATGATTGGAGGGGATAACGGCCCAAGACGTGTTGAGGAGTTTCTGGCGAGAGAAGGGCGCTGGCGCGAGCGGGCGCGCCTCGCGGTTGGACGCTAGTTTCACTCCGCTGCCGTCGTCACCGCAAACCGAGAGGAAATCCTAATTGGCGTTTTTGGTGGTTCCTTTAAGGAAGAGAACAAGTGGGTATTTCTTTCCTCTTGCGAAGTCTATGACGTCAGACAAGACAGGTGAGAAGACACTTGCCTTGGCGTACTTTTGTGGAAGACTTCTATACTCTTTTCATCATCATCATCATCATCATCATCATCATCATCTTCTTCTTCTTCTTCTTCTTCTTCTTCTTCTTTTCACCTCTTTCCCACGCCGAACAGATTGCACAAACTGCCCGACCTGCGGGAGAAAAGAAGTAGTCTAGCCGCTGTTTGCTTTGCCCGGCGACAGTCGGGATTTCGTTTTTGGCGGTGGGAATAACTCCCTCAGGCTCGCCTCGGTGGAGTTCTGCAACCTGGGAGTAGACTGCCGAGAGAAGCTGACATCAGCAGACTTTTGGCTGCCGGCTGCCCCCATGAGAACTGCGCGATGGGGGCTCGCAGCGACACCATTTAAGGGGAAAATCTTGGTCGCCGGTGGACGTGATAGCAAAGAAAAGAATGTCAACGTTGTGGAGATGTTTACGCCACCGGACGCCAAGAGTCCCCTCGGCCAATGGACGGAGTTGACTGGCATGACGGAGACTCGTTCATGGTTCACTCTTCTCGCATTCGCAAACACCATTTTCGCACTCGGTAATACGAAGCGAATGATTCGTTTTTTTCTTTCTCTCTCTTATTCTCTCACGGCACTCGAGGTTCTCATTTGCATAACCTTTTACAAGGAAAAATGATAAAAGCTTCTTTACAGTAGGTAAGCTAAGCCATGAAATGCTGGCTGAAATTTCGAAATGCGTTTTCGTTTCGTATTGATTAATTAAGTATGGTTGTAAAACAAATCAGTTTTCAGTATAATTCTATGAAAATTAGGTTGCCGCACGATGTTGGCTTTGGAAAGAACGTCCTTCCGGCCGCATACAAAAAGTTTACTCTGTAAAAAATGACTGCTCACATAGCACGCTTTCTATCATTGAGTTTTAATGCCACTAAAAGTCCAATCATATTTCATGAAAAACATGCATAAAGATTCTCATTCATTTGCCCATTCGGTAGAACATTACGTCTTTTTTCAATTTTTTACTTGAAGGAGGAATAAAATTCTGTCTAAAGGAAGTTTCTAATCATTAAACTTTTAGAAACCGCGAAGTGGCCGTTCATTTAACGTCATGTCTCTGTATTTACCAATGTGGCTTGTAAAGTGAACGAAAAGGCTCAATTCTAATGCTAAGTTCTATGAAGCTCATATGGCTTCCTTTCAATACCGAAGAGAAATGTGTGGTTTTCCCAAAGCGGAAAATAGATGGCTTATATATTGAAAACACTACATGCAAGTGTGACGGCAGAGCGGGTTCAAAATTATTAGGGAATAAAAAAAGTTTTTAAAAACCGAATAATACCCTTCTTTTGAGTATAAAATTGGTAGAAAACGTATATTTTTACCGAATGAGCTCAGGATTAAATATTTTTTATGCATGTTTTGCAGGAAGTATAATTGGATTTTTAAGGACATCGAAAATCAATGAGAAAAATGCATGCTAAGTGATTTGTCATTTTTCACAGAATGTAGTTTTTGACTGCAATCGGAAGGACGTTCGTTCGAAAGCCATCATCCTGCAATAACTGGATTATTGCATAATTATACTGCAGACTAATTAGTTTTACAACTCCACTTAGTTCATCTTTTCGAAAAGAGAACGAATTTAGGAATTTCGGTTGCCATTTCGTGAGTTAGCCTATCTATTGGTTGTAACATCAACTGCACATGTGATTTGGCGCATACAAGCACTGCAAAATAATTGTGAATACAACCCCTATTTAGTCAGTTCTATCTAGTATTTTTTTAAAAAAACTTAGCGTTATTTTAATTCTATTAAATGTTTAGGCAGCAGCAGCAGAGGAAATAACCGAGTAGAGGCTATCGTTGCACCAGAAGGTTCATCTGACTTTGACAATGACTTGAAATCCTGGATTTGGTCGTCCAAGAGCCCAGTGGAAACGCTCAAATGGATTCGTAGAGCTGCAAGCATCCATATGTAAACCTTAAAAATATACGACATGACGACAAGTGTGTTTTGGTTTTATTTCTTTTAAAAAATCAGACGAATTTCCGTACCCAAATCGTGGCTAGGGATAAACGAGAGTTTTTCATTAAGGGGAATAAAATGTGTGCGTACCATGCTCTGTGCTAGGCGTAGCAGTTAATGTTTTTGCAGTTAATATTTATTCGCTGAAAAAATTTCCAACTTTGAAAGAATCATAAAACCAAATTTTTGTGCTTTGGTAAGACTCCCAAATCTGCTGATACTAGGAAACATAAGGTTCAAGGATTAACTGTAATTCTCAAAATTAGAAATATGCTGGGTGGCAGATATCCTTGGGCAGAGCGCCTTTCGTGGAGGACTTAATAAGATAACATTTTTATCTCTGGAACTAGAGCAAACGTCGCGGATATATGTTGGACCCCTAACTGCAAAAAGCAACTGATTAGAGCTGTAGACATAGACGTGTTCGTGATTGTATTTACCATGTGATCATATGACCAATCCGATTAACGAAGCCGCATCCAAGAAAAGTGATTGTTTCTTCCAATTCTTTAATTTTTGCAGTTGCATTAACAGCGTTATTTACTGCCGTTTACAGTGTTTACGAGTAAACTATCACTGTTGGGTAAACGAGAAGATTAGGTACCTCGAGGATGACGTACAACAAAAACCAATAAGGATAATTGTCGTCAGTTTCTAATGATGATTGAGGTCAGCCGAAATGACATAGCGAAGCCCGAAAGTGAACTACCACCCTTTCTACGGAAAAGGGGCGGTAGGTTTGTGAGTTGGAAGTGACTAGCACATTTGAAGGTTGTCCACATAGGTGAATCAATAAACTACATGTTGTAGGCTCGATGTTTCACGAACATACGGCCCATAATGTAATTGGTCAATGGACAGCTCCTAGCTACCCGTTTTCACTATCGTCAGCATCGGCGCTTGCCTATATTGTTTTCGGTACGCAAAGCACTCGTAAACCAACCTCCGGCTTGCTATGCCGTGACGTCGTTTGGTATCTCTCCCTTTAACGATTGGCCGTAACTGGACGAACCTCGGGCGCACTAGTTTCGGCTGATACTTGCCTTGTGATGATGCTACCTGAAACTGCTTGCGGTGCCGCCTACACAATCGGCCACAGTAAAAGATTTTGCACCTAGCGCCAGGTAAGGTCCTCTTTATTTCTACGAAAAGAAGACAAATGTGATCTACCTGCAGGTAATTTTTATCAAAGATGCATCTTCAAGTAAAAAGGTTCTATTAATTATTATGAATCTTAATGCAAGTAATTTTGTATGGATTTTTGCACAGATATTTTGTTCGTGGGGTTTTTTATACAATACTAGTGGCTGAACAACGTAAAGCTGACAGATTATTTCCTATCAAGTAGCAGGTAGACGTTGAAGAAAATGTATCTAGGGGAAATTAACGGACAACGTTTATAGGTAGCGAACGCATGGAAAATGAGTGAGCTAGGCATGTGTAGTAGCAGTCACTAGTGTTTTTTGCTATACAGACTGCTTCAATACGTTGTTTTAGAAGACCATTTGTCGGGCATGCACATGCTTCCGATAAATTCCTTCAGACCGGCACATTTATATGGGAACGAGGTACAGGGTTTAGCGTGTGAACGACTAGAAAAACCGACTACAGTTTGTCTTTTCACACAAGCAGAGTGTGTGAAAAGGGGGAGGGGGAGAGGCGGCAGTAACTGGCAGGGCGGGATAGGTTGACCCATGTCACAGTGAAAAGGAGGGAGAACGATGACGAGAAAACATGCATCCAGTTAACTGACCATTGGCCACGGTAGACGCGGAGAATGCAAATGGCTCTTCTGCGCGCACAGGACCGACCACTGAAGCCTGATGGCAGTCGCATCTGCTGCTGCTGCTGCTAGTATGCGAAGGCCCAGGTGAATTGAGTAGTAAGGTGGATTCTTGTTGTTATGACCCGCCCGGTACCTGAAATCCCATGGAGCGTACACGCACTCGATCGTTGTCCTCAATACCACAGCAACAGACAGAGAAAACACGACCGGCCACGGGCAGTGTATTAGAAGAACACTGCAAGTCGCGACTAGCTGAAAGATGACGCATATTTATAACACACTACTGTGGTTAGCCGGAATTCGGCCCAAGTACCTTCGGGAAGAGGGAAGTTGCCAATGGAGAGGCGATCGACTAAGATGACAGCGCTGTAGAGAGGGTAAACACACGTGATCTCTTGTAATTGGTTGGCTCTTGTGTTTGGGAGTGTAGGCGCTCCCAACACCTCCCCTTCAAGTAGGTCAGTACCGCCTTTGGCATTGATGAGTCTGCATTGACAGTGTTGATCGGCGCAGGCGGCTGGTCCGGCATTTCAGTCGTAGTTTGTTGTCCGAAGACACGGGGGCAACGACTATTACCAGACATGGGATCTGATAAATTGCAACTGATTGATCTCCCACATCTAGTCGGTCCTTCCTTCGCAGAATCTTTTTGCCCAATTTCGCTGTCGGACAGCAACCGACACCCACGCCGAGCTGTTCAGCGATACGTACCATCGTTTTGGACAAATTCTTTATACACGGTAGAGGGTGCCAGAGTGTTGACGGCTTACCTCCGTTTGTGTGCCGTGGGTGCGTGCGGCGGCAGTGGCTGTTCGGGTATGCATCCTTGCCAGTTTGTCCCGAAGTTGCCGCGGTTCTCGTACTCGTCCCTCAGGCTCACTGCAGTGCTATTTTACCCTTTAGATCAGTGTCCTAACACAGGTGCGCTTATGCGCCCATGTGTGAGTAATATGGTAATTTAGAGTCTAAGTCGTGCTAGTCACCTTTCTTTACACCGCAGAGATAAGTTCGCCATTTGGTGTGCGTGTGTGTGTGACCAGATCGTCAAGGAAAGGCAGCTGCTTGACACGCTATGCTTCCATTGTGAACTGTATGTCAGGGAAAATAACGCTAAGCAGGTCTTGAAAGTCGCGCAGTTTGCTCCTTTCAATTATGACGAACATTGTCAATAGAAGCGAAGAGACAAGTCCCAGGAAGTAGTCTTGAAGAAGGAGACACGATCGCTGGGACAAAAGCTTTATTAGCCTGACGTTTCGGATTCCAACTCGAATTCATCATCTGAGACAAAAAGCAGAAACGGGTGGTTGCTGCACAAGGGGCTGCGGTTTTTATAGGATGTTGTAGCCATGCTACCGCATACCTATGAACATTCACGGCTCCCCCCTTCATCCGGGATCTTCGTACTTCGTGTGATCCCTACTCGATGGCCGACATTCGAGTCGATAATTGCTGCAATTTTATCACGTGCGTTGGATGTTGGCGTGATGATTGCTCGACCATCTGACGCACCGACCCCGGTGTTGGGAAGAGTGTTCACCTCTGCCCTCCCAGCATGGCTTGTTACTCCGCCTAGGCGAAGTTTTAGTACGGAGTATGGAGTTGGAAGATCGTTGAACTTGTTGATGGACCGGGGGCCAGTAAACCATGATTTCAGTAGCTTGTAAGAGACAAACCCACTAGTTGGGCACAGCGAGTAGGCTATCCAGGATACGAAAATAGCAGTGTCCCAACAGTTACAAACTAGTAAATAAGAACAAAGTCGTCGGCAGGTAAAAGTGCCCGCGTGTTCGGCCATTCTCGTTCGGAGCTGTCTTCCGGTTTTTCCAACGTAGTTGCTTTGTCCGCAACTGCGCCAGATCCGATAAACGACTCCAGACGTTTCTAGCCGAGGCAGTGGATCTTTCAGTTTCATGACCAGACGCCTGACGGTTGCCTCCGGTCTGTGTGCCACTCCAACACCAAGTGGTGCGAGAAGGCGGCCGACGGCTTCCTAGACGTTCTTGACATACGGAAGTGCCCGCCAAGATTTGGTGTCCGGGCGGTTAGGCCTTTCGTCCCTTTTGCGTATGCACCGGTCGACGAAGTTGCGCGGGTAGCCATCGGCTTTGAAGACCCGTCGGAGGTATTGTAGTTCGGCAAGTTTGTTATCCGGCTAACTGCAGTGCGTTTCGACACGCCGATATAGCGTCCTTACACAATATCGATTACAACGGAGAGGCACAAGCCGTCTACGTCCTCTCTCGCCTTCCCACTCCAGACGTCTGTTTCATGCATCAGTCTTCTTCTCCTTCCCTCCTCTGTCATTATTCCCTGAACACGCATCCTTTTTCGCATTTCCTCCGTCGCCTCCCATCGGTTCATCACGCCTTTTCCTTCTCATACCGACGTCTTATCCTAAGATCTGCTAACCAGTTAACGGATTAGGATTATGCAGTCGCATTTAAAATGAAGTACAGCCCACCGATGAAGATCTACAAACCCTAAAAGACCATAGAACACTCCGTTGTCTTTGTTCGTGAAATGGGCCGTTTTCTGATTGTTCCTCACATCTCTAATAGCACAAAAGCGCGTTACTAACAGTGTTGTCTACAGACGAGGTTGATCATCAGGGGGTCGATCGCCGAACCAGCCATTGGAATTTGCCAAGCTTTTCCACGTGCAGTGGCGTAATCAACTTATGTTGGGTTGATTCTCGGAAAATTATACCCGGTTGCAGTAAGAGACATTTTAAGGTCTGCAATTTTACGCACCTCCAAACATCCTTTATTGATTGAGCTTTGGATGCCGTGACACCATGAATCAAGCGTAACTTGATACAGTTATCTCTATGCTGCCAGTCACAAGAGAACCC